AGATTCCCCTACCTGCCCCAGCTTCTGAAGTGGCTCATTTTATATTTTTATGTTGTTGTTGTTGTTAAGTGCCATCGAGTCGGGTCCGACCCATAGCGACCCTGTACAGGGTTTCCTAGGGTGTAAATCCTTACGGGAGTAGAAAGCCTCATCTTTCTCCCGCGGAGCGGCTGGTAGTTTCGAACCGCTGACCTTAAGGTTCGCAGCCCAATTCGTATAATAATCATAATTAACTCTGTTAACCACTCACAATTGAATCATGTAACCTTCCAGCATCTTCTCTCTTACCCTCTGTTACCCAGAACCTTTAGGAAAACAATTGCTTGGTAGGAGTTGCAAAGACATTAAATAATTCACTATACCACAGGTTTATATAGAGTTTATTTCTTTCAGCAGTTCTGCGGGAGGAAGATGAGGCTGTCTAACTTTATAAACATTGACAATCTAAATTTGATTACAATCTAAATTACTTTACTATGCATTTTCCCTCTTCATTACTCAAAAAATAATTAGTTATTATTTTGGTTATAATTGTTCTTTTCTCTGTCTCTGTTTTTCTCTCTCACCAAATCCTCATGCATTTTGTTGAGATATTTTCCTGTTTCTCTTTCATGCTTCTTTAGTGTTGTAATCATTTGTATGCCTAATTAGATACATTCCAAGTTTGATCCTTCAACTTTTTTTTTTAGTGTTTTATTGTGAATTATATGATAATTTACATGGGAGAACATTAGTTTTACATTCATTCTATCATACATGGTATCATTGTCATGGTTCCAATCCCCTCCATGCATCATCAACCAACCAAAGGTTATACCCTGCAAGCCTGCCCCCTACATTACTACCCCCCGCCCCAGTCTTCAGCACAGTTGCTCTACCTCTCTGGATCTAAAGCCCCCAGCTGCTCCATCGCTCCACGTCATTGTCGCTGCCTCCATCTCAGGCTAGGGTCCTGCTCTCGGCACTTCTCCGTTGATGGTCCCAGGGACCTCTGCTCCTAGACTGAAAGGTTAATCACTTCCTTCCTTGCTATAAAATGTCTACCTTTACATTTCCAACCTTCACAATCAGTCTTGATAACAATTATTCTCTATTGTACCACAAGAGAACCATCTGCATTTCATTTCATCAACTCTGCCTAGGCAGATTGGATGATACTTACTGGAGATTTTGCCTTCCTCCAGGTCCCTGGTCTCTAGATTCCCTCTTGAAAGCTTGTAAGCCAGTCACTTCTTGTCTTTGTAGCCCTACTCCCCCATTTTGGGTAGCCAATGTCCAAGTTGCCCATCCCTGTCTACTCTGTGTGTGGATGGGGTGGGAATGATTCTTGCTGTAAGAATTTGTTCCCTCTTTTGACCTACTGTTTCCATAGGTGTAGGTCAAGTCCATCAAATTGCATCAGATTACTCTTTTTTTCCTCTTCTTTCTTCTTCTGGTTGAGCTCTGATCATCTGGTCATTGAAGCCAGGTCAAGTGGGTTTTATCTGCAAGTGTGGGTGTTCTTGTGCATATGCCCTCTCTTTTTATCAGCTGAATGCTTCACTCTCCATATTCTCGGGCTTAGCTCGCCACTTCATTGTTGTTTTTCCCTCACTTCCCCTAATAGGTGACGAGTGTGGTCGCCAACCAGAGCGTGTATTCCTACTGAGTCTTAGTCTAGGAAGGGGGTTTGTACTTGCTTTGATGTTTCCTGGGCAAGCAACTTGTTTGTTCTGTCCGTCTGCCTCTATTGTTTTGTATTCTTCCTGTAGGTCTTTCTTTCAAGAAATTTCCTCTATTCTAGCTGTTCCAGGCTGGTCTGCTCATCCTTTCAAGTGGAAATTTCCCATCTCTGGAGATCTGGATATGGTTCTGTTCCTTCAACTTTTGATTTAACATCTAGATGTTTTTGCCCTCTTCTAATCATTTTTTTCAAGACTTAATGAAGATACAGATGTTATGTATTATGTTCAATGGCGAGTTGGTTCCAACTCATAGCAACTCTGTGTACAATAGAAGAAAACACTGGTCAATCCTGTGCCATCCTCCCAATCTTGGCTTTGTTTCAGCCAGTGTTGCAGTCACTTTGCTGCCCATGTTAATGAGGATCTTGCTGTTTTTTCACTGATCTCCTTTCCAAGCAAGAGACTGGTTCCTCTTTATAACTTCACCAGTGTATGTCACATGAAGCCTTGCTATCCTTGCTTTCAAGGGCGTATATTCATTTTCCTTACAAATGTACTTGTCCATAAAGAACTTTTAGCACTTTCATTTACAAAATAATGTTAATCTTTTGAATTTTT